AAAGGTTGAACTTACAAATGTTTCCTAAACGATGTATACTTTATTAGCAAGGTTGTGATGGTGCTTCCTTGGAAATACTCTTTCCATTCCCACTGCCACTACCTGATTCAGGCCTCATCACCTCTTGATTAAGCTTTCAGTGTATTGGTGTATGAAGTTGCCTTCCTCCTTGTTCAGTCCATCTTATATGCTGCTGAGAGTTATTTTCGTGAAAATCAAATGTGTTCACACCAGTCCTTTAAAGAACTTCATTGGCTCACGCCTGTAATCCCAGCACTATGAGAGGCCGAGGCGGGCGGATCACGAGGTCAGGAGTTCAAGACCAGCCTGGCTAACATGGTGAAACTCCATCTCTACTAAAAATACAAAAAGTAGCCGGGCGAGGTGGCGGGCGCCTCTAGTCCCAGCTACTCAGGAGCCTGGGGCAGGAGAATCGCTTGAACCCAGGAGGCGGAGGTTTCGGTGAGCCGAGACCACGCCACTGCACTCCAGCCTGGCAACAGAACGAGACTCCGTCTCAAAAAAAATAATAATAATAACTTCACTGGGGCCCTGTCCAGAGCCTATGCCTGTAGCACAGCCCACATGCCCTTCAGGGTCTGCCCTTAATGTGTTTGGAGACCCCTCTTTCTAGCTAGCTCGTCAGCCTTTCTGAATTTGCCAGTCCTGCGCACTACACCGTTCCCTGTCATTCCTCCTTATGATGTGTCCTCTGCTGGAATTTCTGCTTCCTGCTGATCTCACTAGGCCTATTCAGGTAGCAGCTGCTCAAGCTGCTTCCCATGGTATTTTATGCAATAAAGTATCAGTACTCAGAGTTACCGCTTGATAGAATTTCTCTTTTCCTTTTTAAAAGCTTCAAACAAATAATGTCTTACCTTTAGATCCCTATAGGTTAAAATATATTTGTTGACTAAAAATTGTGTATGATTACTGAAAGTGTTCAATGCAGGGAACACACCAGTTCATCATGGAGGCATTTCATCAGAGAGTCTAGTTAGAGAAGATATGTCATGGACTGCGTCGTCACAGAAGTGGGGTTTATGTGAGAGAGGAGTTGGAAATCACACCTGAGTGGAGAGCAGCGTGAAAGGTGATGTCAGCAAGAATTTAGGATGTAGAGAAAGGATGGTAAAGACACCAGCCGGATGGATCAGGGAGACAGGGAATGCAGAATGCAGGAAATGTGGAATCTCTTAACTTGCACAAACCTAGGTTTCATTTTTGTGTTCTAGTGTGTTACACTGGCAATGACTTTACTTCCCTGAGTGACCGTGAGATGGGTGTGGTCCATAGTCATGTGCACTTCGTAGGGCTGTGAGGACTGAGAGAGGTGACCCAATGACTAGTGTCACACAAACGTGACATGTCGTAGGCACCAAATGATTCTAGACAGTGGTTCTGGTTGGTTTTGTGGTCAGTTAGAAACCTTTCATCAAGTGAAACTTTCTTTGCAGAGCAAACAATTGAAAAGTTAATATTCTACATGTACTAAGGTTTGTATTCTCCGTTAATATGGGGGAGTATATGGTAACCTGGTGTTTAGTGCTAGCTATGTTTTTGGCTCATTGCTCAGTTTATGAGAGAGAACGCATAATATTTGTTGTTCGACCGTTTTACTTGCAGGATTGAAGAGAATTGACATATCTAGAAAATGCTTTGAGTTCTTGGACATCACTATTTGAAAACGTACTGATTACCCTTAGTTGAGAATGGGAAAATCTAAAAGGGAAAAGTCACTGGTTCACGCTGTACTATTAGAATTGGTCATCTTCTTGCCTGACTTGTAAGTTAAGGATGCTTGATCTTTGCTGTGATGTAACTTGTTGAGGATGAATTGTAACCAGTTACAATGAATACAAATTCTCCTTTCTGTTTGACCTGGAAAACTTTCCAAAAGGAGATGTCTTTACAATAATGATATATTTGGTGAAACCTGTGGGTTTTTTTTTTTTTAAGAGCTTCTGATGACAGTATTGAAAGAGGAAACTAATCTGTATTGTCAGCATAGCCACAGCTAGCACTAGTCATTTCTTGAGAGGTGGAGCTGTTTCTCAGAAAACACGCTGTTTAAGGGTAGGAGGTGAAGGGACTCCTTGTCAGAAATTGGCTTAATTTTTATCCAAGTTATAAACCACAGTTCTGTTTGGGTATTGCATTTCTTCATTCACTCAGTGACAAGAATTAAGACAGATGATGCCTGTAGAAAAAAAAGTGTGTGTTCTTGATAGTTCTGCTACTGGTGCTAGTAGAGGTTGAGAAATAAGATTTCCTGTGAAGTGTGGTTTGGTTGTTTTTGTGGTATCTCATGCAAAAGAGTTTGAACTATGTTCATTTTTCTCCGTTTATTGGATCCTTTAAAAGATAGGAAAGGGTGAGATAACCAGACTTACAATGTTGGTAGAGTACTGTGGGCTTTGGGACTCCTGTAGCCCAAAGGTTATGGGATGCTGCTGTCACGATAATCTCATTTCAGAGGTTCCTGTGGAAGAGGAGATGTAGCTTTCTGTGTGTTCTCATTCAGAAGTCAAAAGTTTTTAATGATTTTTAATGGTTTTTAATGATTCGTTTATAGATTTGGAGCTAGCCGACTGATACTCTCTGGGCAGGGTAAAGAGACCTGTGACTCAGATTGTCAGGGAACCTGTGTGTGCGCTCACAAACTCGGAACTATGTGTTGTGATCCTTAACTGGAGAAGAGGCAGTGCCCTTCTTTGTTATCTTCACTCAAGAGTATGAATTATAAAGTCACAGTTTCTCATAAAAAGGCTTTCATAGTTTCACTTCCTGAAATGTGTATATTCACAATCTTTTGCAATAGTTATTTTAAGGTGATGTGTTTTAGTTAATTTTTGTCTCTACAGCCTCTTCTAAATCAAAAAGTTATATATGCTTTTAATTTTATATTAATCTTTTTAAATTTTTGTTTTTTGTAATTTTAATATATTTTTAATTTATTTTAAAGTTTTATTTCTCTTTTGCTTTAAGATTTTTCTTTTTAAATTGTTTTTCATTTTTCCTTCATATGTATTTTTCTTAATAGAACAGAAGAATTAAAATAATATCTAGTGATGTAGGTATTTGAGTTTTGTTTTTAATCAGCCTTGAGAAGAAAATGTAGGCTCAAATAACATTTGTAGTTGTAAATAGCTATAGAGTTTTCCCAAGGATTACCTTTCTTAGTATTATCTGATAACAAAATTAAAAAAAAAATCCTGAGAAAATTCACTGTTCCTTTGCTTTTGTTGACTCTATAAATTAATGTGAAATAGGAAGCGAGGCTGCTGCCAGGGGCTGAGCCCTGTAGACCCAGTGCCCTGCAGGTAGTGCCCTCCTCCATACTGCCCCCCAGGACTGCATCTGGGCCTTTCTGGTTTGTGGTTACTGTGCTTATAGAGCATTGAGGTAACCCCTGGTGCATATTTTACAGATTGAAGGGAAGTAACAGTGAGTTTTAGTTCAGAGTCCTGAGGGTATCAACTACTCTGGCTGAAGGTCTTCTCTAGGTTTACTTCCTCCATAGCTGGGCAAGGGTGTGGGGTGGTGCCATGTGGGGTAACCAGATTCCCAGCACCCTGTGAGGTAGACCTTCCTGGGTTTTATGGATTCCTACCGCATGTTAGTCAAATGGCTGTTTTCAGTTGTGCAATAGATATGAGTAGCCTTTGGTTTGTGTTCTTTCTGTGATTACAACATGAGGAAATACATTCCTCTGGTGTGATATTTTAGTGGAACTTTAATTTTAAAATCATGTAGCATTCTAAAACCAGGCATTATTTTTTTGATATGTTGTCTAGGAGATACGTGGTCTTTATTTTAATTAGGTTGCTGACCTTTTTACTGTTTTACATAATACCACAGTTAAAGGGTGATTAAACTGTTAAAAAAAAAAAGTGATTTTTAAAAAAGTGCTTGTTGACATCATCTTTCCGAGAACACTAGTGTATGTGATTTACTATAACAAGATCTCAGTTTTTCCTGTTGGCAAATGACATGTAATATTTACAGAGGTCTTGGGTTAGTCCAGCAGAAACATCTCAGATAAATTGATGTGTGAAACTAAAGCCATTTTACATTTCCTTTCATATGGGGATAATATAAACAGTGTTTTCGTTTAAAAGTAAAGAGAGACTGGCTATTTAGTATGGATTTCTTTGAGGGGACAACTTGTAATAGTATGCATTCTCTAGAGTTAAACATCAAACACCATGTTTTTAGTTTTATAATTCAGTGATATGCATCCGGCAGTTGTGTGTTGAGGATTCTGAGTTAATTCATGGGCTTTTTCTCCTGGTGTCATGCTTGTCTTCCTTTTCCATCTAAATGTATAAGGTCACATTTTGTATTTCACATATTTAAATTAGCATAAATTCTCAATCTATGAGATTTTTACTTTTAAAAACTAGAAATATCTCTAAACTGTTAACAGAGTCTAAGTAGTGAAGTATCTTCAGTGGCCTTTTAAAAAATTCAGTTGGAATATTCCAACTGTCTGTAAATATTTTCAGCATTTAACCTAAACACAGTTCAGTGCTAAAATGTATTTATAGTGGAATTCTTATCTATTGAGCAACGAAGAGGGTGAAATACAGTAACCTCGGAAATGTAGTCTCATCTGTTTGAGACCAGTTACCGTTTTGTAGATAGAGACCGATCAATTCTTAGGTGCCATGAATCTGAATGATCCTTTTACTTTTAGGAAGGTAAGTTCTTTATTCATTTAACTATGTTTACTTCTGTTCGATTTTTCAAGTCACAATGGCTAATGTGCTACAAACAGAAGCACTTCCCTTCCAGCACTATAGTAACAAACAAGATTACATTTTATAGTTCTTAAACAAAAGTAGAGAATAGTTGAGGATTTGTCTCAACTCTCTTATGATGCTAATCCATTTTTCTTATTTCTTCTATCCTTTTGTAAATACCTAGAATATTAATATGAAGATAAGAAAACAGTAAATTTGAAATGACAGTTGTGGTTTATCATTCTCTGTTTTCAGATGATCACAGCCGTGTTAAACTGCAGAATGCTGAGAATGATTATATTAATGCCAGTTTAGTTGACATAGAAGAGGCACAAAGGAGTTACATCTTAACACAGGCAAGTAGTACGATACCAAGCAAATGTCTGAAAATGATATGTTTGTGATTGTTCTGCTTTAAATCATAGGGAAAAGTATATCTTGACTTCTTTTGGAAATGAAATGGTATTTCAGTTTTTTCTGACGATGTAATGAATTTTGGACGTTATAAAGTTTTGAAGCTTTGAGTATTTAAGATAAAAGGCAAGTTATTTTTAATATTACACATTCTGTGAAGGAAAATTGTTATGAAATGGCTTAGGCCAGTTCTTTGGGCAGGTTGTTCCTTACATTATATCTGACACAGAGCTCTGCAAATGCTTCTTAGCATCTTCTGTTTCTCTTCCCATACCCTGTGGCAAAACCAGAGGCCCTAGACGCCTCTTCTGTAGCTCCCCCTGCCTCGCATATATCTTCAGAGAGTACGCCAAGCCCTGGATGGTGTACAGTCGTCGTTGAGGACCTGTGCAGGTGCTGAGACCAGGTGTTCCAGAGGCCCAGCTGCAAGGCCTTGTGCTCCCTTTGGCCTTCTGTCCAGTTGCCCCTGAGCACATCAGCCACACCTGTGTGCAAGCATGATTTTCCTTCCATTCTGAGATAATGGGAGAGATTTTTGTGTATCCACAGCTACTCTTTATTCATCAAGTGATAAAGACTTGATTAATGGTGCTGTCACTTCCCCCTAAAGATTTTTAAATATTCAAGAGATACACCATAATATTTGATATTTTTGAAAACGTAACTTGAATCAGAATGATTTACTTGAAAGAGAAAAATGTTTGATAAGTAAAAAGAAAGGCAGATTAATGTAACTATGAGCTATTAGACTACATCAGTTCAAAGGAAACTAAAATGCATTATTTTACTTGAGGTAATACAGCTCCTGCAAGTCAAAAATAGAAAAACAGCCCATGGAAAAAACTGGCATAGGACATAAACTCCTAGTTCAAAGAACGAAACAATGAAGAGATGCTCCCTTCATTCAGCAAGCAGGGAATGGGCCTTTCCCCTGTCAGAACAGGAGAGATTTCGAAGTGTGTAGTACTCAGTCTTCAAATACTCTGACCGACCAAGAAAGTCTACTTAGAGAAATACAGTCAGACATAAAGACATACATGATAGGCCAGGCGTGGTGGCTCACGCCTGTAATCCCAGCACTTTAGGAGGCTGAGGCACATGGATCACCTGAGATCAGGAGTTTGAGACCAGCCTAGCCAACATGGTGAAACCCCATCTTTACTAAAAATACAAAAATTAGCTGGGTGTGGTGGCGGCCACCTATAATCCCAGCTACCCAGGAGTCTGAGGCAGGAGAATCGCTTGAACCTGGGGGTTGGAGGTGGCAGTGAGGCAGGATAGCACCACTGCACTCCAGCCTGGGCAAAAGAGCAAAACTCTGTCCAAAAAAAAAAAAGACATATGTGATCATGTTCATTGCAGTCTTATTTTAACGCATCAGACTCAAGCAATCTGTAAGGGACTGGCTAAAGAAGTTAATCATACATACACCGTTAGTGGTTATTTTTGGAGCTAGGGAATAGAGACTTTAATTTTCCATTTTCTTCCTTTCTGTAATATTAGAAGTTTTTTTAAATGTGCATTCGTATTTTAAACTACTGTTTAGAGTTAAAAATTTTATTTTCTGTTTGAAATAACTACAGTTGACCCTTGAACCACACAGGGTTGAACTGTACTAGTCCACTTACAGGCAAATTTTTTTCAACCAAAAACGGGTTGGAAATACGGTATTCATGAGATGTGAAATCCATGCATACAGAGGGCTGACTCTGTGTATCTGCAGGTTCTGCAGGGCCACCAGTGGGGTTTGGACATGTGTGGATTTTGGTATCCTGCAGTGGGTGGGGGCGGATTGGGTCCTAGAACCAGTCCCCTGTGTATCTCCAGGAACAACTAATAACATTACAAAATAGAGAAGAATTACCACCCTAGATCCCTTATCACAACACTCTCTCCCTCTGTACCCTTTTTCTCCTTTTCTTTTGTTTTTTGTTTTTTGTTCTCTTCTTCGTTCTTAAAAACACAAGTCTTTCTCAAGATTCTAAATTAGCCTTTTTTTTTTTTCTTCCCTCCAGTCTGCACTACAGCCCTTTAAGACCATGGTTTTAACCTTTGTAACCTAAGATAGGGTAGACTACTCTCATGGTACCTGTGCTTGAATCTTGGTGCCAGCATTTCATTGGGTATTCACTGACCCAGCAAAGACTTACTGAGACCTACTCTGTGGCAGGCATTGTTTCAATAAAACAGACTTGTTAAAACCCTACTGTTATGAATTTTACATTCTAGTGGGAAATAAAATGAATAAGAGTTAATAATTTTGTAATAGTGTTTTTACATGCTTTGTATAATTTAAACCTTAAGACAACCCTCTGTGGTAAATAGTATTACCTTTACTTTATACACAAGGAATCTAAGGAGATCCAGAGATATTAAATAACTTTTTTTTTTTTTGAGATGGAGTCTCACTCTGTTGCCCAGCCTGAAGTGCAGTGATGTGATCTCAGCTCACCACAACCTCTGCCTCCCAGATTCAAGTGATTCTCGTGCTTCAGCCTCCCGAGTAGCTGGGATTACAGGTGCTCACCACCACTCCCAGCTACTTTCTGTATTTTTAGTAGGGACGGGGTTTCACCGTGTTGCTCAGGCTGGTCTCAAACTCCTGGCCTCAGATGATCCACCTGCCTTGGCCTCCCAAAGTGCTGGGATTACAGGTGTGAGCCACCGCGCCCAGCCTCCTAGTGACTGTTTTTGAACTTCTTGTCGCTGTGTGTGTCCTGAAGGAGCCCTGCACATTTAATGCGAGAACTCAGAAGCCTGTGTCTGGCTTTTTGTTCTCTCCTGAGTTCCTCTCTATATTTGTCAGGTCTCTATTGGATATTTTTACTGGATTTCAAAATCTGCACGTTTTCTATCTTTTTTACCAAGGCAGCTGCCTTCCTATTTTTCTCATTGGGATTGAAACTGTCCTCTTTGTCTGCCAAGTTCTTTCTGATCTTCTGTTGCCCCTCCCTTTTTTCAGAGCTCTCTTCGGTTACACCTGTCCTATTGCAGCAGCTTTTTAAGGTCTGCCCTTGCCACCATCCTTGTCACTCTGCTGGTGTAATTGCCGACTGCACCTGCCACCATCCTTGTCACTCTGCTGGTGTAATTGCCGACTGCACCCTCCACTTCCACTTCACTGATCTGTTTGTCTTTCCCAAATATGCCCTAAACTTTCACGCACTTTGCCTTATGCTTAGAGGGCCTGGAATGGACCCTAACTGCCTCCCATTCTTCTGCATTCCCTCTCTGTATTAGGACCTTTTTTCAGGCTCTTCTGTAGTTTCCTTCTCAGCCTTTCCTGCTCCCTAAAACCTGGGTTTAATTTACTCATATTCTTGTGGTACTTAACTGTGTCCATTAGTCATACAAGTATTTCTCCTTGCCACCTGTGCAAGCTCTTCAAGAGCCAAGACTGCATCTCAGTCTAGCTCTTGGCCTTGCACCTAGCAGGTTGTTCAGAATGGAGGATACAGAAAACTAGAGATGCAAAATGCTTATTACCCCAGCTCTTCTGATTGTCCTTTGTAGATTATTATTGTTTCAGTCATCTTTTTCTTCTGAGTTTTATGAATTAGTATTTTTTAAAAAATCACCTCCTTGGTGTATTATGTCTGTTTTGCAGATGAAGAAAATTGGTAGCATTGCTAGTAAATAGAAGAGCTGAGATGTGAATCTCTGTCCCTCTGATTTAAAAACCTGTGGCTGGGTGTAGTGGCTCACGCCTGTAATCCCAGCACTTTGGGAGGCTGAGGCAGGCGATCATCACCTGAGGTCAGGAGTTTGAGACCAGCCTGGCCAACATGGTAAAACCCCGTCTCTACTAAAACTACAAAAATTAGCCGGGCATGGTGGTGCACGCCTGTCATCCCAGCTACTCAGGAGGCTGAGGCAGGGAGAATTGCTTGCATCTAGGAGGCAGAGGTTGCAGTGAGCTGAGATGGTGCCATTGCACTCCATCCTGGGCAACAGAGCAAGACTCCCATCTCGAAAAAAGAAAAACCAGTGTTCTTTATACTATAGCAGCTATGTTCCTGTTTATTATTTAGTCTTTAGGATCACCAGTGGAATGGCATGGGATGTGATTGTGTGTATACACCAAGGAGTGACCTCACTGGCAAATTGCTACATCCATTTTTTTTTTTTTTTTAAATAAAGAAAAAGACATTCATTTTACTGGGGATTTCCTCATTGCTGTTTTTACCTCTAGACTGTGTTTTGTTTTGAAAGTAGATCAAGTAATAGAAAAACAAGTTGAGTGAAGAAAATGCTATTCTCAAATACTAGGTTGTAGTTTGTCAGGATCCTCACTAGACTTCTAGCATTTTTACAACTTAACCTTGGTTTATTCATTTAAGTAATATTTATTGAGTATCTGCTACATACCAAGGAGTACACCGGGCCTAAAGATGCTTTTAGTCGGCCAGGCACCATGGCTCACACCTATAATCCCAGCACTTTGGGAGGCCGAGGCAGGTGGATCACTTGAGGTCAGGAGTTCGAGACCAAACTGGCCAACATAATGAAACCCTGTCTCTACTAAAAATACAAAATTTAGCCAGGTGTGGTGTTGGGCGCCTATAATCCCAGCTCCATGGGAGGCTTAGGCAGGAGAATCTCTTGAACCTGGGAGGCGGAGGTTACGGTGAGCTGAGATCGCGACACTTCTCTCTAGCCCGGGTGACAAGAGACGCCATCTCAAAAAATAAAAAATGCTTTTAGTCTAGAAACACTTTGACCCCCTTGTTGCACGTGGGTCTGAAGCTCTGGGCAGCCCTAGCCCCCACTCCTGACTCTGCCCCTAACTCTTCCCACTCTGCTACATTCCATGTGAGTTGAACGCATGTTCAGAGTTATTTTAGGTGTAGCAAAACTACATCTCATTTTAACCTTCTCGTTTAAAACTAGTTAAAATTTGTACATAGGCTTTTCATCTCTTATTAGTCCTTTTTTTTACCCTATGCTATCATTAAAATATGAAAGCAATTGGAAATACATGAAATATTTTGCTTTTGTCCCCATGGCATTGTTGTAACATGGACTGTTGCCCCTTTTTGACTCTGCCCAGTACTCTTCCATTGAGGCCATACATACTGTGCATTTGTAGATTAACAGTTTCATTGTGGTTCAGGTACTTGAATGATTCCTACTTTTTCTAGAAATCTTTTTGTAGTTGACTTGAGTTGATTGGCTGGCCAGTGATAGTGGACTTTTTCTCGTGGATCTTCTATGATGTGTGAGAGGCAGGTCCTGTCATTTGACTGTGGAAGATGAAGAGGACAGAAATTTCCTTTGTCTACCTTCTTTGCAGCTGGAACATGATCTGTCAGACACTCCTACTTGTGATTTTGTCTCTGGTTTGCCTATAGATTGTTTATGAATACTACAGCCACCTTCATATGGCAGTGCCAGCAAAAGCAAGGGGGTAGTAGTGACAGTATCAAGAGCAGCATCCCAGGTTGACTTTCTTTGTGGCAGGACCTTGCTTGTGCCTCAACCCTTGGTTCCTCCCCAAGCTTGGCTCTCTAGTCCTCAACTCTGAAAGCCACCTGATATCTTAATTCCTTTTTTGCCTAAGAAAATAAAAGTCAATTTTGATAATTTACAACCAAAAATCCTAAGTAGCACAGACCTGGTTTTGAAATCAGGTGGATTGGAAGTCTTGGTTTACTTCTTATAAGCCCATCCACTGTCTGTCTTGTAACATCCCAGGAGCAGGCTTGACGAGGCCTTCCTGGAGCCTTGCTCTTTCTGTCTGCTTCCCTCATCTGCTCTTTCTCCTCTCTCCTCACAGGGTCCACTTCCTAACACATGCTGCCATTTCTGGCTTATGGTTTGGCAGCAGAAGACCAAAGCAGTTGTCATGCTGAACCGCATTGTGGAGAAAGAATCGGTGAGTAATATTTAATATTTACAGCTTAGTATACTGCATGTGATCATTAGCATATAAAGATTTTCATTTTGGGGCCAATATTCATTCCTTAGTTTTGGCCTTTAATTGCTAAAGGCTAGTGGTCAAAGTGTTTCTGTCCAGAAAAACTCATTTATCCTTTTCCTTTCTTATTTTAAGTATTTATATAACAATTGCAGACCTTTCATCTCCAAGATAGAAATATAATGGAATAAGTACTGACCAGCAGTGATATATAGATCTTTGGGATCCCTAGGAATCCTTATTGACCTGTTGTCAGTAAGCCCTCTTCCAGCTTTAAGATCTTGTACTGTTCTACTTCAGATTTCTTACTTTATTCTACATTTCATAATTGCTGGTTTTTACTGATGATGAAAATTTCCTAATCCACTTCTAATCAGATGTGGCAATGACATGCCAGAATTTCCGGCAGTGTCAGCATAGTCGTTTACAGTGATTTTTCCTGATCTTCAGTATCATTTAAAAATTAGGGATTAGGCCAGGCACAGTGACTCAAATCTGTAATCCCAGCACTTTGGGAGGCTGAGGCAGGCAGATCACTTGAGGGCAAGAGTTTGAGACCAGCCTGGCCAACATGGTGAAACCTCGTCTCTACCAAAAATACAAAAATTAGCCAGGTGTAGTCCCAGCTACTTGGGAGGCTGAGGCAGGACAACCGCTTCAACCTAGGAGGTGGAGGTTGCAGTGAGCCGAGATTGTGCCACTGCACCCCAGCCTGGATGGTCGAGTGAGACTCTATCTCCAAACCACTGCACTTCAGCCTGGGCGGTAGAGTGAGACTCCATCTCAAAAAAAAAAAAAAAAAATTAAGGATTATGACATTGTCAGTTTGAGCAGCATTGCAGACTAAATGATTTGCAAATTTCATTTTTCTCATTTTAGAGTATAATTACTGTATTAATAAGATAACACTGCCACCAGAATTTAGAAATCATGTTTATGGTGGTCGGACCTGGATGGTTAACCAGTGTCAGGTTTAATTATTTTGGGGAAGATTACTTCAGAGGTGGTGGGTAATGTGCTATTCATCAAGAGACCCATAATGTCTGATTATTGTTGTTTTTATTTTTATTAATAGCCATTATTGGTCAGTGCTCAGCTTCTTAATTCATTATGGGTTACAGATGGTGATAATCCAGTTCTGTCATTACTTCTTTTAAAAGCAGTTTTACAAAAAAAGTGGATTCCCTGTTGAGGTCATCTGTCCTCAACAGATGACCAATTAGGAGTTTTTCTGGTGGAGAGTGGCAGGAGAGGATGAATTATTATGGATTTAGACATATTGGGTTCATTTTACTCCTTTGCAGTTATTTTCCTTATTTTTGATCAAATTATCCTGTCGTTGGCTAGCAGCAATCTCTTTAGGTTGGGTCCTGAGTCCTTTTTGTTTTTGAGATGGAGTCTCGCTCTGTTGCCCAGGCAGGAGTACAGTGGCATGATTTCGGCTCACTTCAACCTCCACTTCCTGGGTTCAAGCGATTCTCCCGCCTGAGCCTCCCGAGTAACTGGGATTACAAGCACCCACCACCATGTGGCTAATTTTTGTAGAGACTGTTTTACCATATTGGCCAGGCTGGTCTCAAGCTCCTGACCTCAAGTGATCTGCCCATCTCAGCCTCCCAAAGTGGTGGGATTACAAGCATGAGTCACCTCACCCAGCCCTGAGTCCTTTTTAACAAACCTTTTAATAGTTTCCTTGGCTGGGTGCAGTGGCTCACACCTGTAATCCCAGCACTTTGGGGAGTTAGGTGGATTGCTTGAGCCCAGGAATTTGAGACCAGCCTGGGCAAATGGTGAAACTCTGTCTCTGCAAAAAATACAAAAATTAACTGGGCGTGGTGGCGCATGCCTGTAGTCCCAGCTACCTGGGGGACTGAAGCAGGAGGATCGCTTGAGGCCAGGAAGACGGCTGCAGTTAGCTGTGATCTTGCCACTGCACTCCAGCCTGGGTGACAGAGAGAGACCCTGTCTCAAAAAAAAAATTTTTTTTTTTTCTTGCTATCTGTAATGACTGCATATTGCAGGCTCATCTCGAACGCTTGCTGCCCAGACCTGGAGCCAGCCATTTCTCTGCGGAGCTTTGGTTTCTTTTAATGGGCGGTAGTATTTCAAGATCACAGCAAAAATAAGGATATGTGTTGCTACTGGACTGGTCATTGTTTTTAGGGCTTTTCAGTGGACAAAAGCTAAGGAACAATATGTATATGTTAAGATAACCTACTTTAAGAGTTCATAATATTTCCAATTTAAATTTGGAGCTATAAGGGCTGCTTAGCCCCTTCCATCTTATATCTGCTATTTCCTTTTTCATACCAATAATCCTAGTTCTCAAAGAGATGAGAGATACAAGCTATCTTGTAGTGATCATTTCCTTCTTCCCATATCACATACAAAACATAGCCATAATCATGATATCATCTACTACCAAAATAATTACTGAAAATGGTTTACAATGTTTAATATTTTTTCTCTTCCTGATGTTTCTGAGTTGTAGTTTACAAATGTAAGTCTCTCCCTTATATCCCTTGTAGACTCTTAGTTCTATAAGCAAGCATTAGTTAATATTCATCAACAGTCTTTCTTGATGTCTCCCCAGTCACTCTGACTACAGCTCATTCTCTAGTGGATCCTAAGGAGGGACTTGTGAGCGTTATAGTCTCCAATTTTTTTACATGTCACTGATGGTTCATCTGCTGTCTTAATATCTGAAAGTCAGTTTGGCGGGATATAAAATCCTTGACTCACGTGCTATTCTTTGAACAGCTTAAACATTTTTCCGTTTCCTTCTGGTCTTCCACCAAAGTCTAATGGACATCTTATTTCCTTTATAAGTCTCTTGTTCTTTTTATCTACACTACCCAATAAATTCCTTCTTTTTCCTCAGGTATTATTCGTTTTACCAAAAATATGTCTTAGTGATTGGCCATTCTTGGTCAGTTTTTACAGGTACACGATGTCTTATTGAGTGTTTGACTTCGAGTACTTTTTTCTTAGTTTTTAAATACTTTTTGTTAAAGAAATATGTGTTGAGTTACAGTCCTTAGTATTTGTTCTGCTCCCTTGCTTGCTTTAATGTTCCTCTTTGGGTCTTCCTATTATACATATGTTGGATTTTCTTTGCCTATCTTTTTTGTTCGTCACATTCTCTTATCCTGTTTATCTATTTCTGTTTTACTTAAAAAAGATTTGTTTTTTCTGGCCAGGTTTGAGGGCTCACAGCTATACTCCCAGCACTTTGGGAGGCTGAGGCAGGAGGGTCCCTTGAGCCCAGGAATTCAAAACCAGCCTCGACAACAAAGTGAGACCCTACCTCTACAAAAAATACAAAAAGTAGCCAGGTGCGGTGACATGCACCTGGAGTGCCAGCTGGGGTTGGGAGATCACTTGAGCCCAGAAGATTGAGGCTGAAGTGAGCCAGGTTCACCCCAGTGCACTCCAACCTGGGCTACAGAGCTCTTAAGACCCTGTTTCTTAAAAAAAAAAATTGTTTTCCTTTTAAGGCATTATTATCTATTGTGTTTAGTTCTCTCTTCCTTCCGGCTTAATCCTCATTTCTGAAATGATGTGTTCTATTATTTGAACTTTTCTATCTTCTATCTTGTTTCTGAGTTGTTCTAATTTTTAGTCTTTTACTTCTTATATCATTTTTTGTTTGTCTTTTAACACCTTTTAAAGAATTAATTCATCATGTTTATTGGTTTGGGAGATGTTTTTATTGTTTGTAGCTGTTATTTGGAAAAGGAGAAATGGCCATTTTTTTAAAATATTTTTTTCTGGTATTTTTGTCCTACCGAAATGACTATTTTGCCTTGCTTCAGTCTGCTGGCTTCGTACTTTGGCATTTGGGAAGATATGTTTATTGTCACGGATTTGAATTTCATGTCAGTAGTTCTGCCAAACTCTAGGTAAAAGGGGCTTATCTTCTCATTCTCTCCCCCAGTTTAATTTTAGTAAGCAAATATACAATGTTCTTTCTAAATGTCATTTTTTTGTTTGTTTGTTTTGAGACTGGGTCTCACTTTTGTCATCCAAGCTGGAGGGCAGTGGCACAGCCTCAGTGCAGCCTCGACTGCCCATGCTCAGGTCATGTTCCCACTTCATACTCCCGAGCAGCTGGGACTATAGGGGTGCGCCACTGCACCCAGCTCATTTTTTGTATTTTTTGTAGAGACAGGAATTCGCCATGTTGTCCAGGCTGAATTTCACGCTGTTGCCCAGGCCAAACTCCTGGGCTCAAGTGATCCACCCACCTCAGCTTCCCAAAGTGCTAGGATTACAGGCGTGAGTCACATGTGCCTGGCCTTAGATGGAATATTGAGTAGTAGATTCATAGGCATTTGTGGAAAATACTTGTAAAATAAAGCCTTTTCAGCAACATATTTTTTTTTTTTGAGACGGAGTCTTGCTGTGTTGCCCAGGCTGGAGTGCAGCGGTGCCATCTCTGCTCACTGCAAGCTCCGCCTCCCGGGTTCACGCCATTCTCCTGCCTCAGCCTCCCTAGTAGCTGGGACTACGGGCGCCCACCACCACACTTGGCTAATTTTTTGCATTTTTAGTAGAGACGGAGTTTCACCGTGTTAGCCAGGATGGTCTCAATCTTGTGACCTCATGATCTGCCCGCCTCAGGCTCCCAAAGTGCTGGGATTACAGGCATGAGCCACCATGCCCGGCCAGCAACATTTATTTTGAAGATAAAATTATTGCAAGGGTTTGATAATTTTAGAAACATAAAGTGAATGTCCTGACGTTAAAATATAGGTAATCATGCTTTAAAAATGATAATTTTTATTTTATGAATATGATATCTGTGGCTTTTTTAGTTTATACGTTACAGAAACACTTTAAAAATGCCTTATAAGACCGGACGCGGTGGCTCATGCCTGTAATCCTAGCGCTTTGGAAGGCTGAGGTGGGTGACTCTCTTGAGGTCAGTAGTTCAAGACTAGCCTGGCCAACATGGCAAAACCCTGTCTCTACTAAAAATACAAAAATTAGCTGGGTATAGTGGCAGGTGCCTGTAATCCCAGCTGCTTAGGAGGTGAGTCTCACGACTAGCTGGGACTACAGGCGCCCGCCACAGTGCCCAGCTAATTTTTGTATTTTTAGTAGAGATGGGGTTTCACCGTGTTAGCCAGGTTGGTCTCGAACTCCTGACCTCAGGTGATCCTCCCGCCTCAGCCTGCCAAAGTGTTGGGATTACAGGCGCGAGCCACACCCGGCTGTAAAATTTCAATCTTACTAAAATACATTAAGCGCAGAATATAGTAGTGGCTTCTTAGTTTTGGTACTTGAAAAAATATAACATGTACATGTGTGGTTTGTTTTCATTTTTTAACTCTATGGTTTCATGATGTCTATAAACTAAAAAAAACATATACATATTTCTAAATTTAGGTTAAATGTGCACAGTACTGGCCAACAGATGACCAAGAGATGCTGTTTAAAGAAACAGGATTCAGTGTGAAGCTCTTGTCAGAAGATGTGAAGTCGTATTATACAGTACATCTACTACAATTAGAAAATATCAATGTAAGACCTTTCTTGCCCAAAAGTCTGGACTTTATATGGTGGTTTAAAGAATTATTCTCTATTACTAGATTTGAAGTTTGACAAGCACATGCATTTGGATAATACCTGTAGTATCTAGTCATAATCACTTTGTGTGCCTGCACGTAGTAGCTTTCTGAGGACTCTAAAGAAACAGTAGAAACTACGAATTTCAAAGTTCAGGTTGTTATTTGGGGATTGAAAATTGATTAATAGAAATACATGGGGATTAATAGAGAGGGCTTTAGAGTCAGGCAAACCTGGATTCAGATCCAGCTCTGCTACTTAGTAGAGGTATAATTTAGACTTGTTGGCCACCCTCCCTGAGCCCTTCCTCATCTGTAAAATGGAGATTACCGCGCCTCCCCTCCAGGGCTGTCCTGAAGGTCACATGAAGGTGTGTATGCAGAGCACCTGACCTCAGTAGATGCCCAGGAAACAATAGCTCCCAAGACCTGTGACAGCCAAGAATAGCGAAATCGTCAAGAAAATAACTTACAAAGCTATTGTTAAGTGATTCACAACACAAAAATTTGTCCTGAGTTGTGAAAAAATGGTGTTTTTTATATATATGTAACACACATACATATATCCATACATACATATACATGTATAAATGTAGCATGTGGTCTCAAGAACATTTACTTGGGTGTTTTTTATATATATGTAACACACACATATGTATATCCATACATACATATACATGTATAAATGTAGCATGTGGTCTCAAGAACATTTACTTGGGTGTTTGGTGGGTTGGTTGGTTGGTTTTTTGAGAGAGTCTTGCATTGCCACCCAGGCTGGAGTACAGTGGCATGATCATAGCTCTCACTGCGGCCTCCAACTCCTGGCCTCAAGAAATCCTCCCACTTCAGCCTCCTGAGTATCTGGGATTATAGGCATGAGCCACCATACCTAATTTTCTTTTTTTTTTTTTTTTGTAGAGATGGGGTCTTGCCTTGTTATCCAGGCTGGTTTCAAACTCCTGGTCTCAAGCGATCCTCCCACCTTGGCCTCCCAAAGTGTTGAGATTACAGTCATGAGCCACCATGCCAGGCCTTACTTGCATTTTTCTTCCCCAGAAACATACGAAGTGTTCCTTGGGCCTTGGCTGAGATACATACACATAGTGGGTTATGAACCTGCTGTTGCCGGGGTGATGATTGGGGCATTTCTCCCCCTTTTGCCATTTACCTCTTTTGCCTTCTTTGTGTTATAATTAGAATAAACTAGAAAATAATGAAATGAGAGTAATTCTGAGATGCTAATAGAAACTGTGATAGCCTGAAAATAGGAAAATGTTTAGCCTCATATGACTTTAGGAATGTATGTAGTCTTTAAGTGAAATACTGTTTTGGTTAACCATTAAGTAAATTAAGTGATCACTAACAACACAAAGCCTTAAAGAGAAGGGATATATATACACACACACACACACACACACGTATACACACGTGCTTTTTAGATGTGTGGCAATCCCTTTTGTGGTGGATCCCTGGAAACACTTGTGTTTTTTGCTGCATTGATTAAGCACAGGTGCATGCTGTGTGCGTGAGGCCTGGGTTCTGGTTTTCCTTCTGTCCAGCTTCCCATGACATCCATAACTAAGCTTATCATGCGGTCTCTTCAGTCACCTAAAAAGGCTCCAAATTAGGAATGATAATGCTTAGATTTATTTATAAATTCCCATTAGTATATTTATTTTGTCCCAACTCTTTCCATTTACATGTGTCTTAAACTGCATTGAGATACATCAATAACTCTTTGATACTGGACTGAGCTGTACATTATTCATTCCCAGAAACAGAACTATATTTCCACAAGGTTCTCAAAGTTCTCTGAATCATCTTCTCTTGGTATTTATCCCAGGTAATTACTCATTTGCTTATGGCATTAAAATTGATTTAGATGAAGGGCATAGATGTGTTTCCCTATTTCGGGAACAGTCCTTATTGAGAATTGATGGTAACTGAAGTAATAATAAAATGAAATGATTTTTGTGTTTTGTTTATCAGTTTCCAAAATGCTTTCACATGTATATCATTTGACCGATAGTCTTCAGTTAGTGTGGACAGTGTAAATATTCTTATTATCCCCATATTTTACATTATAAAAATGAATAGTTACGTTAAAATCCATTCGGTTATAGGACTTTTTCCACTGATTACTTAGCTAATAAGTGACAGACTGAACTCATTAGTTCTCCTGGTTCCCTATTTTTTAAGACAGAATCTCGTTCTGTTGCCCAGGCTGGAGTGCAGTGGCATGATCTTGGCTCATTGCAGCCTCCACCTCCTGGGTTCAAGTGATTCTCCTGTCTCCGCCTCCCGAGTAGCTGGGACTACAGGTGTGCACCGCCATGCCTGGCTAATTTTTTGTATTTTTAGTAGAGATGGGGTTTCGCCATGTTGGCCAGACTGATCTCGAACTCCTGACTTCAGGTGATCTGCC